TAGTATTGCTCAAGGCAATTCTCAGAAGAATATTTGTTTTATTAGAACTAAATGCATCACTTTCAATTTCAAGGGCCGTTTGAAATCACTAAAAATACAGTCAATCTTCGAAAGTAAAATAAAAGTGTGGTGTTTGTGTGTGAGAGATATGGAGTATTACTTCGTTGTGGCAAAGGGGCGGTGGGGAAGTGGGGGGGGGGAGGTCCTTATTAAATAATGTTTTGCGATAAGAGGATTTAGGAGCTGCATACCCCTCCTAGACCTCCCATCCCACTGTTGTTCCAACGTCAATGCATGTTCACAATGTTTTTGACACATTTATTGGACAATCTGATATGATTTATTTTTTTTTGAAATGGCAGGCTCATATTGGTTTAACATTTACATCAATAACTAACTAAGATCTGTATTCAGTACAATCAACATTAATTAAATATTGCATATTTGAATAAATCTATTCATTTAACTAAATAGCTAAACTTGGAGTAAATATCACACCAAGATAAGTCAAAATGCATGTTCTATATAGTGAAATTCAAATGTTAATTAACATATTTTATTTGTGAAGAAGTTTATAACTCGAAATTTTTAATCGATAGGAAAAAAAAATGTTTAATTACTAGTATCTGTACACGTACATGTATTACCTATAAAGTGTGATACAGAAATTGTGGTATAACATACATAACATACGTGTACATGTACACGTATGTATCGAAAGTTAAAAAATTACGTATTAAATCGTTCAAAATTTTCAAACAAAAACATTTTTTGTTACATTTTCACCACATTTCTGTGAGTTTTTTTTATATACCCTAACAATTTAGAGCGAGGAGGTTCAGGATTTAAGAAATATATGTTGTTCACTATTGTTTAAAAGCGTAAAAAAGACCCACGAAGACTTTGAAAATAATTAAACAAGAAGGAAAAATATTATACGTTTCATCAGTAGCGCTTAAATTAATATCAGAGAGAGAGAGAGAGAGAGAGAGAGAGAGAGAGAGAGAGAGAAAGAGATTTCCTCTACTAATTGCTTGGATTCAGTTACGATGAAAGTAACACTCACTCATTCGTGCGTGGGAGAAACTCCACGACGCTGGTGATCTAATCATACATTATCTTACAATTTACACAAACTATCGGTCATGTATCGTCGTCTGTGCGCATTGGGTGGTCAGTGAATTCAAAGTGACCATAACCGCGCAGAATGTAGTAAAGTGGGTTTTTTTTTAACGAACTAGACCATGTTGAACAAATTTACTTTTCATTGACAAAACCGAAATTCTCTGTTTCACAAGTTACCGGAACGATGCAGATTGATGCACATTGACGTGCCACGCATTAAATACCTGCACTCTCTACCTTTAGCAAAAATGAAAACTTTACTGGGTCAAAATGTCAAGCGTCATTGACTGCTTAAAAAGTCTGCCAATTTGAACCTGAATATCGACTAATTTATGTTTTGGATGCTGCTATTTGTCGTTTTTGTAATTTATTGTCATTGCCCTATAAACTCTTTTTCCGAATATACGACTTTTGATGCACTAGATCTTTTCAACATAAATAAGCTATAAAAATCGAGGAAAGAAGTAAATTAAAAGGCATATTACGTTGTATTTAATAATTTAATTCTTTGGAACATATCTTTGTAATTTTTTTTTTTTGGAATGTTTTGAAAAAGAGGAAACGAATTAAAAATCAATATCGAAATTATATATATTTAAGGAGTTACCCATTTTATATGGTACATGTATAAAGTGGTTTGGGGCAGTTTACGCTTTAAAAACCGCGAAGCGGTTCATAAAAAAGCGTAAACTGTTCCAACCCAGTTTATACCGTATAAGTTGGGTACCTATTGAATTCATTCCTCATAATTTAATTTTCATTCATTTGGTGTGAGAAAAAAAGATGATTGTCCTTAAAAAATGACTTCAATTTGTACAAAATTTGAATGTAACGTCAGGAGGATTGATACGTTTTTGACGCAAGTCATTGTGGCGTAGGCAACCCATTTTATACGATATAACGTATTTTTTTTTATCCAATCAAATACAGCGTTACAACCATTACAACCACAATATATATATATATATATATATATATATATATATATATATATATATATATATATATATATATATATATATATATATATATATAATGATCTATTTTGCTTTTTTCTGTTGAATGCAGTTTCACCTCAAGCTAGGGTAACGCTTGAAATTTTAAGAAAAAAAATAAATATTTAAGATTCACAGTTTGATTTTTAAGTTTCTAGGAGGTGTAATTAAAGAAAAGCACAATAGTGAAAAATCTCATTTATAAACACACAAGTACATGTACATTACTTTTTTTAAAAATGTTCTGCTCCGTCTAAGCGAGGAATGTGTTGCGCCCATCGATTAATTAACAAACTGGTCATTTAGACGAAATTAACAGCTTGTATTATATAATTATATAGTCGGAGTGGAAATAAAATGAATGTGCAGACTTTTCCAGTGCTGACGCCAGCTTCAAGCTAGGAGCATTAAAACCACCTGTAAGAATAATTTCTGTGAGACCATATCTTATCGGTGTCATTAGGTCTTTTTCACCAACAGGAGAGTTCACTGGTTGCCGATGTGCGGACAAATTAGAACCAAATGCGTGTTACCTAACTTAAAGAAATTTCTTTACACACTCCAAAGTATCTGTACATTATTGTGTATTCACTAATAATATATTTTTTTGAGTGTTTTATGTTATATTTTACTTTTTATAAAGTTATTATGTTACATTTTAAAACCATTTAAAACCAACATTTCAGAATGAGAAACACAAAAGCATGTATCCTCTTCGTAATCAAGATAAGTCGATCTCTGATGCATGTACTAAAGCTTTGGCGGATTCTATTATTTTGCTTGATGAATGGAAATTTATCACAATAAGTGTGTTTTCTTTTGCTGTACGATTATAAAAACATATAGATAGATCACCAGTATGACAAATTTAATGATTTTTTGTACGTCATTCCAGAACATCCTAAATGTGATCATTATTAGTTCTTCAAATGCAAAGACTCAAGGAGTTAATGCAATGATCTGGCGTGCTTGCGTAAGCCCCCTGCTTTGTTATAATCATTATAAAGCTTATGTTAACAAATCCTGATCAATAAAACAACGGATTGTGTGTTTATGATATCATTAGACTTAGAATTGAATATCTCATTTAAAACTATTTAAGATGTGATTTAAAAGACATTAGAAATACATTTCATTCTTATTATTCTTACAGGCAGCCTAGCTTAATTAGCTATTTATCCAAGTCAACCCAGTTTACTGTACATTAATTAGCGAGAATAAGAAAATACAAGATCCACATCAGTTTATAGCAGTTCCAACTTCTTGCTCCTCGCAATACATATGACTATTTTTTGTGATAATGAATACTTGAAACTTACAAGTTCATTTACTACACTCACACCAAAAATCAGTGGATGGAACATGAGGTATCGTATTCTAGAAAAGAAATGCTCATGATATTACCTCCTAAAATACTTTTAAATAAATTCTGATACATGTTTTTTTTTATTGTTCAGAAAATAGACTGATTTTGTTTAGGGATCAGTTAATATAACGTTAGGGGTGTTGAAGCAGGGAATATCTTTTTGAATGCGAAAACGTATTATATATTTTTGAAGATGGATTGGGAAAAAAGTTAAAATTCAATATTCGAACACCACACTTAATGCAATGTATAATATAGTATAAGGTGGATAAGTTTTTTCCCCCTAAATCGGAGGGAGAGGGGGATCAAGAGGTCCTGAATTTATCCATACGACATCAATGACTTCGTGGCGCAGTGATATGATTGCTGGAATGTAAAAATGGTGATTGCAAGTTCGAGTCCCACATTTTTTTCTACTTATGTGTTTTGATTTTTTTTTCTTTGTGCATCTTTTCTATGCTTTTCTTTATTATGTTTTATAAATGATTACATACATGTATGTCTTGAATTGAAAAAGTACATTATCTATAAATAGAAACAGGTGATTTCCTTTTAAATGCTTGAGTCGGCCGTGTCGTCGGTGAGGCAGCTATGGCTCTTTTAGCTATTTTGTTCAAGTTTATTTGCTTCTACCCGCTCCCCGTGTTAGACGCAAAAAGGTTTTATCTAAGCAGAAAAAAAGGTTTTATCTAAGCAGTAAATCCGCCGAAACATGGCTGAAATATTGCCCACTCGGCGTTAAAAAATAAACAATCAATCTAAGCGGTAAATGTATAAACCGCCTTTATTGTTCAAATTTCTATAATAAGACCTCAAATATTGTGTTATGCGAAAAATGCACCGTGAAATAAACAAGACTCGCATCTAACTTTTAGCAACTTTGATCCAATCTGATTTCCTGTTTATATTATAAGAGTGGTATGAAAATGTCTTACAGCTGCCATGTCGCTTGTTTTCTTCATGTTTATCTTTCACACTAAGTTACTGTAACAGTTGACCGGAAAGTTTGTTGAAGATTTTTTTTCTCCCAAAGTTATCTTAAATATCCAATTAATAGATAAGTAAAAAGATATACTAATATTTTTCAAATAAAAAATATCATTTGTAACATTTTTTATTCTTACATATACACCTTATAGAACATAATATAAATGTACAAAAGTTATAGAAAAAGAATTTTTTTTTTTGAGAGAGTGAGAATGAGAGAGATATTGAGTGATTGTAAGAGTGAAGTTATTTACATTTCCAACAAAAGTTTTTATACTGGAGAAAGGGGGATGAAACTAATAGCAATCTCTGTTGACCCTCAGAGCCCGCACGTGTTACAACATCATAATTTGAATCGAATGAGAGTTGGAATTACGCATGTAACAGGAAGTAAGGCTGCGCATGGCATTGTTTATAGTAGACATGGAAGATAAAGTTTATATCTAAGCTTTTTGAATGGAATATACTAAAACACTCAATGACAACTACCTGAATGATGGCAGGGTTACTGTATACATTGGATCATAATGCATGCAGATGAAAAGGACTCATTTAACATGTTTAAAAAGATGAAGGCATTTGGAAGAATCAAAGAAGAATTTGTTGGTGTTATAATGGTAAGTCGCATTTATTTGGAAAGTTAGAAACGTAATATGAAGAATGTGTTTCTATCTTGTTGGATATTTTGTTGATAAAGAAGTGAAGAACATTTTAAAAAATATCAAGATAAATAAATGGAACATTTGAAATTTTTGTAAACGAAATGGGTTTATATTTATTTGATGAAGGTCTACATGTACTTTCCTTTTTTTATTTGTGTGCTCCCTCTACTAGTGTTGGTACACACAATTGTCATGTTAGTACGACGTGGGTCCTTTACTTTGCTCATTTGATTTTTTAAAATTATATATTTGAATACTTTTGAATCATAACAACACATTCTATATAATTTTTTGAATTAACGCATTGATACATGTGACAAAAACACTTATAAAATGATTAAAACAATCCTCATTTCCGATAGAAATGTCTGTATATTTTTATATTATTATTGTTATTTATTATTATTTTATATTTATTATTATATCAAGCACGAATATTTTCGGGTTCTAATGTGAGAAAAACGTTTTCAAAGATTAGCCTGCTCTTATCAAATTATAAAATTTGGCTTCTATTCTATTGAAATAATTGAAGATTTATTGTAAATCAATTTGTTCACAGGTCCCTAGGAGTGAAAATTAAATAACCCAAATTATAGAACATTAAAATCCAGAACTCAGGTTTTTAGAATCGGAGAACAAACCTGTTGCAGACAGGCCTTTAAGATTTTTTCTTAATGTTCTCATATTAAAAAGAAACAAAATAAATCAAATAACAATATTGTGAAAAGTGTATTGTCAAGCAGAGTCATTTTGTCAAGATAATTTTTTACCCCTCTCCCCTACAACAAACACACACATGTACGATTTGAATGCGTTAATTTATGTATATACGTACAGTATTTGGTTACAAAATCTACCGTCATCTTGAATTAAAAGCTATCGTATATTAGTATGTTAATTATATAAGATTTAAAAATATAGGATACGCATTTAATACAATCAAAATCAAGACACTTCATCATGGTAATATCAAATCATGACCCCTGCCGGTAATGTGGGGTCACAACAGTTGATCAAAGTTATGCAAAGGAATTTAAGGGATAAGTTTAAAAAAATCAAGAATAAGAAAGCCATAATAAGTAAAATTTATTGAGAAGCATCCTCAGGTGATGTAGATACAAATGTGTTCAATGCATCTGCCTGGGGGTAGGGCAATGCAGTGGAGATTAAATGTCGGGACATTTTTTTTTATTTAAACTCTTCAATAATTAACCGATTTAGCGATATGGCCTATCGGCCTCTATTTTAAATTCTGTTTACTTGTTTAAATTTAAGATTATATATATATATATATATATATATATATATATATATATATATATATATATATATATATATATATATATATATATATATATATAGATAGATAGATAGATAGATAGATAGATATAACACAAAAAATAAGAGTCATTTAAATTTTGTGCACCATTCATAGACTTTGTACATCTAATTCTATCACAGGGCAGAAGATGGAGGTAAACAACCCAGCAGGACCGTAACCACCAAGATGTCTGAGGAGTAAAAACAGAAAGCACATAGATGTGTAAAGGATACGTTTATATAGAGACCACAGAAAAGTATTAAACAAGAAATCATCGGTATAATATTCTGATGACGCTTTTCAAGTAAATTGGATATATAAAGAATAGTGGTTCTTTTATTCAAGAAACATCAGGGAGAATTACTCAACAGTTCATAGTGGAAGGATTGCTAAAACGTGTAAGTGAAATTTCATATCAGATGTCAAATGATACAGATCAAGGCCAAACCACTAGGATTTTACCACAATGTTACCCACGAGCTGGAACTAGGAAACCCACCTTACAAACATAATTTGGAACAGTCAGTAATTTGGACCTTGACTCTCGCAAAGCATGTCAAAGTTCTGAAAAGGGATACAAATATATTTCCATCAATCTTAGGAGTAAAAAATGCATAATATCAACTCTTGCATATTGTGATTGTGTTAGACTTGCATGTATCATTTTAATTCTATTTGGAATTCTACATAATCTATAGAAGACTAATACATGATCTATTTTTTTATTCTTAAAGTGTGTGCTGTGTTCATTATTTAAATGGTGATGATCCTCTCAGCTCATTGTTCCCTTTTACATATGCAGTATGAATTCCTAATGTTTTCTATATCTGTATATGAGAATACTAAGTTAATGTATTTTGATTGCTTCACCCAAAGATTTCATCAGGGGAGTGTATGAATTGAAATGTTTAGCTCAAGATGATTTTTGGGGCTCCTATGTCAAAGTATTAGAGCGTTTGCTCGAGAGTCACGCAGTTAAGTGTTAATCCTTACGTCGTGATTTCCCACCCACTGCAGGACATGCAGACTAGGTGCAGGCAAGGAAAAATTCTCCGATTACAAAGGGACGTTAAAGAAACAAAGAAAAGTATTTTTTCGTTTGAAAAAATGAGTTAAAAAAAAGTGTTTCATTCAGCTGTGTATTGGGGTGCAGATAAAACAGTACATGGAGGGTTATTTTTATATATTGTTTATATACTACTGTGCCTTATTGGAGGAAGCACATTTGTTTTTGAAATTGTATACACTTTTTTGACATTGTATTTCATATTTATTTTGATCACATGTTGATAGTACCAATTATTGTTGAATTGCGAACCTATCAACATAAAGAGGGGGTAAGATGTAAATTTTCGACTTTTCTGATGAATCCACCAGCTTTCTGTCCTTGTGTATAGAAACGAACTTAGTCATTGTAAAGGAAAACTACGAATGCTTTTTGATTTTAATGCTTTTGGTGGATCCACCAAACTCCCCACTTTTAATAAATACACAGGCAATGTTGACAATATATCATTTGAGTATTCTTGAGTATTCCTATTTGCATTTTGGTGGATCCACCAAGTATTTGTAAGTGAAATCGAGAATGCCTTGTTATTTGATTTTTTTTTTACAGTTTGGTGAGTCCACCAAACTCCTCTCTGTATTTAAGGACAATTTAGTTGAACTTTGGGTTACATGTAGATTTTTGACTTTTCTGGTAGATCCACCAGCTTTTTGTCCTTGTGTACATAAATGTATTAAGGAAGTGTCACTAGGTAATTGTAAAGGAAAATTATGAATGCCTTTTGATTTTTAGCTTTTGGTGGATCCACCAAACTGCCCACTATAGATAATTACACGGATAATGTTGACAGTATATCATTCAAGTATTCTTGTGTATTCCTGTTTGTATTTTTGGTGGATCCACCAAGTATTTGTGAGTAAAATTGAGAATGTCTTGTTAGTTGATTTTTTGCATTTTGGTGAGTCCACCGACTCTGTATTAGGGACAATTTTAGTTATACTTTCTTTTTTAGTTTTTGGTGGTTCCTCCACTCAGTTTCTCTCAATGGGTTGTTTCAGTGTCTTAACACTGGTGGATTCACCAACGTCGTTTTTTAAGTATCGTCATTATCAAAAGTAATTGAGAATTTCACCAGATTGCTTTTATAAAATTTGAGCTGAATTGTCTATTTGTATTTTTGGTAGAATCACCAAGTTTTCTTGAAGATATTTCAGTTGTTTTGTTGGTAAGTTCACCAATTCTTTTAATGAATTGTAGAATTATGTATTGTCAAAAACAAAACAATTGTTTTCTTGGTGGAACCACCAAGATCAATCTTTATTTGAAGATATTTGATTATTCAAATTGGTGGATTCACCAATCCTTTGACTGTGAATATGGAATACCGATACATTATTGATCTGTTTTAACATAAATATTGGTGACCACACCAATTCTTAACTTATTCAATAACGAAAATGAATAAAAAAAAATTGTCGATTTCTGAAATTGCATTGTCTTCATTTTTCATTTTGAATTAAAAAAAGAGGACACGAATAGAAAATCCTCTTTCTTAATGGAAACAGTTAAATGTATTCTTCCCATTCCTTTACACCCACCAACCCATCCCCTAAAAAACTTCAGAAACAAATACTTCTTTATTTTAGAAAAATGATTTTTGATTATATTCTGTATAGCTATTTTCTTTTTCTTTTTTTTCTTTTTTTCTAGACTGAGAAAATATGTACAATCACCATTAAAATATAAATTGTCGGATGTTTTATTAAAATGATTTAATATTTTTATATATTAAAAATACTTTGTATTCGTGCTTCTAAATTTAACATCATATTGGATGGATAATCTTTAGACGGATCCCTGCTTATTATATTATTTAGGTATTATTGTCTTGTTTGAAGTAAACTGCTATTTTTTACGATGTTTTTAGTGGTGGTTTGAACTTCGAACTCTTTGGTGACGGATTTGTTGCAGAGATAGAGGAAATGACAGTTATTTCTCCTTTTACCAAATATATGGTATGTAATTTGAAGAGTTTTTTAAATGAAATATGTTATTATATAAGATGAAATGTTTGTATCACATATTTGACAATTCTATGTCTAGAAACATTGTTTTGATATAAGTTTTGATGTTTTGATGTAAAAATGACACGAACAAATTGTGTTTTACAGAAAAATCTCTGTCACAGGAAAAGTTCGAGTCTTATACTTTGTAAATTCCCCCCTTTGTCACCAAGAGCATTAAGAGGGAATACAATAGATTCGTTTAGCTTAACTCTACAGTTCGATGATTTTACGTACATATTACCAAACAAAGTTGATTATAAGAGGGATCCCACATTCAACCCCCTAAACAACAATAAAACGTTTGTCTTTGATCCCGCAGCCGGAGACAATACAATAGTCATCACGGTAAGTATTTATGAGGTACCGTAGTCAGACATGAGGCCTTTAGAAAGAAACAAGGTCTTTCGGTTGCTGAAGTCCTCACTGACATGTGTTTTTGGAAACCTGGTCTTCCAACAATCTGTTGGAAATCCGATGAACAATAAATGTTCTCCTTTGTAAGCTGACATGTTTGTATTTTCATATGAAGCAGAATTTATTTTTTTAAAATACACGAGAAGATAACTCCTGTTGTGGCCTTCAACTCGACATTTACAGGAAAAATTTCATATATCATATCATATTTACAGGAATATATCGAGGAATTAATAACGGTTGCTTTTATTCATATGTCGACTTGACTTGACTTGTCTCAGTTAACTCAAGACACCAGTTTCATTTTTGGATAATTTACTGATTATAGACGATAATGCCCAACTAAAAACAAAACTATGACAAACAAGATGACTTCAGATTTTCGTGTTGGTTAATGGTGTAAACTTAGACAATGATTATCAACTCTGTCGGGTATTCTGCAACACAGCTTGTCACTTTGCAGTGCAGCTCCCTGCCTTAACAGTTCCGACCTACTTAACTGACCATGAAATCACCATTATGTACTTTGTAGCATTTAAAAACGTATATTCAATGTTGTTTACAAAATTAAATGATAAACCAATTTCGTTTCAGTTCAATATGAAAGAAAAGTCAAATAACTTGATGTGGCTCGATAAGTGAGTTCTTGCATATTGTCTATAATAAAAAAAAATTTCAAACTTTAGCTCATAAACGAAAATATGCTGTCATTCAGGGAGAAGACTTTACACTGGTGGCCGCTGAAAACGATTACCAAATCCTAATTGGTCAAAGCGAATGTGTTATAACAGAACTACATGATACAAACATAACATGTATACCACCATACTCGGAGCCTAAGCTTTTCTCAAATGACGGCAATATATACATGAAAGCAAGTATCTCCACTTGAAGTAGTTACTTATCTCTGAAAGTAATTGTTTTCCAGTGCTTAATTTTTTTATCATACGAAGTGTGTGGAATCAAATTCATTAAACTATCTTAATCTTTTTTTTCTGTTTTAAGACAACCAGTGAATCCATATTGCAGGAAATATTACTGTAAATCACTTTTCATTCACTTTATTTCGGCGTAATTACGCGAGACTGCTTGCTCGCAAAAATTCATTTCACTTAAGATTATATAGAACAACAACCAAATTTCATGAAAATTATGTCTCGCACATAAATAACAAATGACCATCTCGCAAAAATTAGGTGTCGCAAAAATTTGGTGATCTGCAGTAAGTAAGAAATTTTTATATCATCTTGAGATCTGATTGGATGTGAGATTTTCTGATAGTATGCTATTTAAAATTGTCTCATGTACACTTCAATATTACTATACGACATTTGATTGCATTGTACGTGTTTCTTTAGGTGCACCTGGGATTTCTTACCACTGTTATTGGGTCTCTGCAGTATCCTACCAAAAGAACCAGTCATTTTCAGTATGAAGTAATAGCTTTTGTTTCCGTCCCTGCAATCGTTGTTGGTCTTGTTTTGATGGCTTGCCTATATCGAAGAAGAAACAGGAGAGAGTTAGAGACATTTGATAATCAGGAAATCAATTTAGGTATTTTTGTTCTTTTTTTTTTTTTTTTTTTTTTTTTTTTTTTTTGTGATTGGCAATGATTCATTATGTGCATGATATCGATGAATAAGGGATAATGAAATAGACTTTTTTTATTAACGGTACAGTTTAAATCTGTAATAATTGTAATTATCAAATACTAAATCAAAGATTATAGAATAAAGACAGTGAACGTTTGAATAAAAAACCTTCTTTTTCTAGAGACCGGTTACTTTTAAATTTTTAATTTTCAAAAAAAAATTGTCACATATAATTTTGTAAGTAAATTTAAATGAAAAAATTATATCTACAGGATACGAAATGCTGCTAACTTCTCCTACAAATTATAGACGTGGAGTTAGTGAAAGCATTATGGTTGTGCTTAAGGATAAACACTTACTTATTTCGTCAGACGATCTACATCTTGGGGATGTTGTTGGTCAAGGTACATGTAGATGTTCTAAAAATTCCCAATACGGCTTTTTCGTGAATATCAAAAACTTAATGTAAAAAATTTGTTTTCAATCTTAGGAAACTTTGGAATTGTATACGAGGGAACTCTAAAATGTGGAAACACCATGGAGAAAGTTGCAGTCAAAACGTTGCATAGTATGATTTATCTTTTTAAATAACCATAACAAATCATGATTTTTTTTTTCCAAAACCCATTTAGTAGGTCACTCTTACCTCAAGTTAAATTATGCAGCAATTTATTGTCGAATCGTGCCCAGGTCATATGTTTCACAAAATAAAACAAGGACTATGAAACCGCTACATTTTTTTTTTAACCTTTTCTTTGACTCTTTCAATTTTCAACAAATAAAGAAAGCCATTTGGAATTTTCTTTGTACAATACGAAGAAATCAACGTATGTTATACATTATAAAGGACTTAACGAGTTTTGCTTTATCCTCAATCAGTGTAGATGCGATTGACAGAATCACAGCTTTTGACTTTAAGTATGCATTAATAGATATGCATAATTTCAGACTGGAATATCATATAAGCTAGGGGTTACTTTTTTCATTTAATTAATCAATTGTTAATCCATTGTAATTGCTTTTTCAGAACGCAATCCAAGGAAAATTGACATCGATGAGTTCATTAATGAGGCCTTACAGATGTTTAATTTTCAGCACGAAAATGTAATGCCACTAACAGGAATTTGTCTGTCTTTAGACGAAATGCCACTTATTGTTCTACCTTTTATGCAACATGGGAATCTTCTGACATTTATCATGAAAACTGACAGGGTACGTAGATTTTTATGAAATCGCTTTTTTGGTAAATCAGATAACTTTAACATTCTTTTCATCCATGCCGTTCTCTAGATCTTTAAATCGTGCATCGTTTGAAACTATTTAAGCGAATTCACTTCGAAAAAAATAGCTATTGAGTATATTAATTTCAATCAATTTTAGTATTCATTTTTATTCACCTGAAGCACATTTTTTTAACAATAATATCATCCTTTTTTGTATTTTATTTTTTATCTGCTTGCTTATAGAAAGTTTTTGGGTTTTGTGTTCCAGTTTCTTGTATTATTACTTTTTTAAACAATATATCATCGTCAAAATGATTTTGGACATGAGGAGATATTTACTAGAAAACACGTTTCACTGTAGTAAATAAATATGTTTTATCGTTTGATAATCTTTTTAGGTGCTGACTCTCATTCGTTTACTGCAGTTTGGCCTTGACATTGCCAAAGGAATGCTGTATATATCAACTAAATGCATAGTTCACCGTGATTTAGCTGCAAGAAACTGCTTGTAAGTCATCAGTGTAATTCTTTGACATTAATTACAATATGAAATAAAGTAACAACTACTGTTGTATACACTTCTAAACAACAACCCTTTCACTAAATCAAAGATTTTGATAGATTTTTGCTCATTATAAAAGCTTGACACAACAAATTTAAATTAAAAAATGATCCCTACGCGTCTTGGTTGCCATGGTAGCAGACCGAGACATTTCAATACTTGGGATTTTCTAGTATTTGTCAACATTTGATATCTATCTCTCAGTTGATTCGATACTCAAGAGCATGCTCTACGTATGTACAATTTGTAAAGCGAGGTGAATTATTGATAAACAAGTTGATGAAACAAGAATATCAGCTGTCTCGTTTAAAGGCATCAATTCGTAAGTTCTATGGTCGATACAATGACCTTGTTAGCAAATACAATTTATCATTGAGTCAAATGCTGACTGACGTTTTTCATACAAATTGTTAGGCCATTTTTTACACACTGAATTGTCGACGGATTTTTTCGTTATTTCCCGATCATGACAAGGAGCACACGGCGGGTGTGACCGGTCGGCAGGGGATGCTCACTCCTCCATGGCACCTGATCCCACCTTTGATGATTGGAGGTCCGTGTTTGTTCTGCTCCTATTTTGTATTGTTTAATGGACTTTTGAGCTTGAATACTGTTCATTAACTCCATATATTTCATCTAATTCCAGGCTGGATGAAAATGAAGTCGCCATTGTGTCTGACTTTGTATTATCACGTGATATCTATGAAAAAGATTACTACACCAGCAGTAATCAGAAATGTAAACTTCCGGTTAAATGGATGGCACCAGAAAGTCTAGAGAAAGGCATCTATAACACACAATCGGATGTGGTCAGAGTTTTATTATTATGAAAGAATAACCCAGAAATCAAACATTTAGAAGAGCTAGTTTAAGACTGTAAAATGATACATCATGTACATCTAACAATTTTGAAAATGAACCTTTTTGGTATGGCAACAAAATGTTGTACATGCATATCAATTATTAAGCAGCAAGACCATTAGTTCCTCAATTGAATAATTTTTTTTTCAATAATTATTATCATTGGGCATAGATTCACATGCATTGCCTTTTTTGTTAACAATTTGGAATTTCTCTATTTCATTTAAAAAATAAATTTAATTAATTGAACTTACATGAAAAATCTCAGTATTTAACGATAACATTACAACAAACATTTTTGTTTAAAAACATGGGCTTAATTATTATTTAAATGTTTTTATTTATACAAAACGAATTACATTTTTTTAAAATATTAATTATTTAATGTAGTTTTTAGTTTAAAAATTATAAACACGCTTTTCCATCTGTCTGTACCTTTCTTGCAATATGTAAATCATGAAATTTACCGAGAATTTCGCAGAATATGTGTCTATGGCCCTTTAAGAAAAGCACAATTCTTTTACTTTCAGCATAATATAAATATTAGTCAGTTTGCAATATGATTATTTTTTAAAATGCAGTGGTCTTATGGTGTAGTGCTTTGGGAGCTTTTGACAAGAGGAAGTAAGCCATACCCGGAAGTTGACGGTTGGGATATGCTTAAATATTTAAAGTCAAACCGTAGACTACATAAACCGTTGTACTGTCCGGATGTTGTGTGAGCAGAATTTTAATTTTGATAAATGCTGTAGAAAACATGTAAACGTTCTGTTTTAGTTTTAATAATTAATGAAATCTAAAAATCGAAAATGTATGTGAAGTGATATTATATGCTACTATATGGTATTACTAAGTGAAATTGCCATTTAAAAATATATTTATATTGGCAGACTTTTTCTTTTACCTTTAACACAATTTCTGTCTTTAATGATATCATAAAAAGGCTGAAGACAATCTTTAGACAAAGAAATTTATTTTTGTTAGGTAACCAGGGTAACCTTTAAAACGTGTTTCTTTTTTTTCTATTTTTTCTATAACTTAATAGCCTAATGTGCATGCTTCCACAGAGGCTGGTAAAATACTATTTTTAATTTTACGTAATGACTATATATGCAAAAAGGAAAAGAGAACTAACGTCAAAGAGAATTTACACGGGGCTGATCTAACAAATACTCCATTTCTTATAGAAAATAACATAATAATATGACCTAAATCATTTACCTATGTAAAGAGCGTTTAAGTTGGGTTATACTAACTCGATATACAGCCTTGCGAGTCCATGTACTTTAAGTCGTTCACTGAAACAAGGCAAAATTCGCACATTAAATCCAGTTTCGCAGTCTTTTCGAAGCTGGAAAATGCAAAATACAGATACAAATACAATACGGATCTTTTTCTTAACATATATGCAATTAAAGCATCCCATCTCACCGATTTAAAACTTACGGTGGCTCTTTTCGTATACAGTGAGGATTGGGCAGACGACATTTTGGAAAATTCCATGCAAATCGGAAGCAGGAAAGTAATTGTTCAAACATGCACTAGAAAAACATTGTTGACCTATTAAATCTTATATGCAGTCTTGAGCGAATTGAGTAGACTACTTAAACTACATCAACTAGCCAACAGGATTTCGGGATTATGAGGCACGACGCTTCTTAAATGATATTGATAATATTTTTATTCAATAATAATTATTGCTAAATGATTCAAGTTATTATTCCACTTGGTGCAAGGTAATTTTTTTTTGTGAAAATAAGAAGTGTTTTTGTTCAGTTTTCCCTCCATGTAAATTCGGGCTGACGTTGGTTCCCTTTTTCTATTTGTATATACGGTAATCACGTAAAGTCAGGTATAGTACAATGTATGTAACTGGCCTCTGTTCGTCATTCCAAATTGGACCAAAGGGAAATAAAATCTTGTTAACAAACGACCAGAAATTGAAACAGATTTGATTTTAAATAGCATATTAAAAGTTTTGGGATATAAATTTAGGGATTTCTTTCCTAATATTTCTCAAAAAAATGTTTATTTCATATCTAGATGGAGACCTAATATGAATATCAAATATATTAATCTTTAGATCTCTTCTTGAGACGACAAAGAATTTTCCTATTATGTTTTAAGAAAAACTTTTGATCCCTTTTGATGCCCTAATAGTTCAGACTTGCGTGTCCACTACATAAGTTTCATATTTTTTCTAATACAATCTTACCAATAAGTCGTTCATTTAACAATGCTGACGTAATCTTAATTATAAAAATTTGGAATTTTTCAATTTAGGTACAGACTTACGGAAAAGTGTTGGGCACTAGACCCTTGTAATCGACCTACTTTCTCAGACATCGTGGAAGAGCTTACTAGTCTGATTGCAACAAGAGATCAGCATTTCTCGAAAGAAAATACTTTCGAAAATATAGAGGATATAAACATCAGCACAGAAGTAGATTTTGATTGTTGAACAATTTCAAAGAGGAAAATTTTGCAATACAGACTTTGTGCATATTTATGTTGATAAAAATTTTATAAAGTGCTACCATGTTTTTTGCATATGGAAAAGACAATTTGTCGTTCTGAAAAATCGAATTTTTACTGTAAGTTTGATTATACAGGTTATTTGATATAAGCCTTTTTGATATACTTCATCTGTGTATATGTTTTCTTCACCGATACACTGTATTTGTTAGAGTCTGCAATCAAATAATAAGAAAATTAACATGCATGTATATAACTGTATGTTCATGTGATTTTTACTGGAGGCTTCTCATTACTATAATATTTAATAGTATATTGTTCAGAACATTTAACAAGTGAAATATCCTAAATTTTACATTGAATTTTCTGCTGTAATTTTAATTATTTACAATGTTCATCATATTCATTTCTGTACAATGCCCCAGTGTTGATGGGAGTTTAATTCGAGTCTGCTTATGAAAACTTTATGAATTGCATACAGAGTGTTTCTATGGCGTTTCAAGTAACATTTTAATAACCAAAATATATCAAAGTAAAAACCACAAAAAAAACACACACACAAATAGACAACAAAACCGAAATGATAAAAACGCAAAAATTAGATCGTTTAAGAAAATATCCTCTTTCAAATTTAAATATATCAATTTATAGCAATTGTGACACAGTTTTCATTAATGTTACTTATTAATAAAAAAGAAAAAAATTTTAAAAATCCAATAAAAATGGGGAAAAAATCATGCCTTGCTTAATACGTGTATTTATATCAACCTAAATGTAACAGAATAATTTAAATCAAGAACGTTCGTTAAACATGCACAGATAAATTAAATCAATGAGATCTTCATGCTTTAATTGCCCTACCTATGTTTTAATCAAAAGCCTTTTGGGACATTCAATCATTGGCCAAAAATGTCCGTTTGCTATATCTTTTAATGCAAATAAATCAAAATATCTGTTTCTCTGTTACTTGTCTTACCGAGTCTCGCATATTTTTATCTGAAATAAAAATTAGTTTATTTTCTTAACGATGTTGATGCACTATTACGTAATGATGTTCAGTTTCTCAAATCATTAAATTAGGATAAAGAAGTACATGTATTACATGTAATACTAATTGGTGCCATCCCCAGGTTCATTTCCAAGTTGGAGTTCACACCTTGTATTTCTTACAAATATTAAATGTACTATAGCTCCCAATTTTTAAATTACAAAAACTCTACAGTGCCACGATACATGTTTCGAACATCTAAAACATAATCCTCCAACGTTTTCATGTTCTTCACCCTACAACGTGCTGGATACGTCATTACTAGTGACGTAAATATAGTTAATGATGAGGACCTTATTAACTGAGTTTAAAAGGGCCAAAACTAAGAGAACCCCTATCTTTCAATTTGGGTCATTATTTCATAAATATGATGAATTCTGTGAAAGATTACGCCAGGCGATGGGCAAACATGAAAAAGAAAACCTTGACACTTTGTCAGAATGGATTTAAAGAATCAGATGGATGTTGTAATCTCGCATTAAGTGACTGAGGGGCAATATGAAAACCATTTATCTTTTTGTCTTCAGTAATTCAGAAGTGAGAAAAGAATTAGATAGATTACTCGATCAGTATGTACTAGTCCCAACTGACAAAGCAGAAACAACATTGTCTTTGTTTGTAATGTTCATTATTTTATTTGTATTTTACAGGAACTTGGATTTAGTTCTGCAAGTGGTAATCCAATCAATACTCATAGATCCTTTTCTAAGGAGGAAATTCTTCAAAATCATATGTCAGTTTACAATATTTATATTAATATTCCCAACAATCAAATTGAATTTGAAGTACCATACCTATTCTGGATTCCCAAACTGAATAAAAATCCTTACAAACAAAGACACAGAGTGGGTTCCGGTAAATGTTCTAAAACGCGTCTTTCTTTACTCCTCACTAGAATATTAACAGGAGTGAAGGAGAAACTTCAGGAGAACTGTACAACAAAAAAGAGAAGTGGTGTTAATCAGATATGGATACTTAAAAACTCCAAGGAACTTTTAGAAAAAATTTAAGTCACAAAATTTTACCAAAATCAATAACATCAAAACTTTTCAACACTTTATATATAACAGTTCTAAACCATTAATTAAAGTACAGGCTTTTAGACATCATGCTTTTTCAATGAAACTGGTACTCGAAAACTTACTTGCCTTGTTGGTCAATTGCAAAATAGTTTTTTTTTTAAAAAACCAATTTTATTGTACACACAAGTACTCCGAGGTTGATATCAAAAAGAAGCTTGAGTTTCTAATTGACAATATCTATGCCGTTTTTGAGATCAAGTCTTTCAACAATCCGTCAGAATTCAAATGGGTACCAATTGTTAGTAGTTTATTAGCAGACCTATTTTTATATTCATAGTTAGCAGAATTTATTCAAAAACTTCTACATGAAAAGAAGAAGTCTATTACTGTGGCTTTCAATTTAGATAAATCGACGACGTTTTATTGATTAGCAATTAATTAAAAGAATTAACAATCAGCATCCTTAAATAAATTCTTGTTTAATCTAGCTATTTACCTCCAAATCCTTTTGATGTACATGAAAATGCTGGAAGAAATTTTTTTTTTCTAATGTAGTAGCTAGGTCATATTGTTAACTATTTGTTTAAATACAACACTTAGGTCACTTAATTGGAGGATGCACATATGTTAGTGAATTATGGGATGACATATTAACAAGGATGAAAGAACAATTCCCTTTTTAGTTCATGCTAAAAGATACTGGAGTCCCAAATTGACAACATTTATGTAGTCATCGGAGTCTTTCAAACTGTGAAAAGGCATATATACATGTACATAGAAGAAGAAATAAGAAAAGAATTACCATCCTTTATTGGGTATAAATGTGAAATATTAAATTGTTATAAATGTCAAAAATTAATCTTTATGAAAAATTGTGAATTGGACATGTTTAATAGAAGATAGGAATGACTCTCTTTAAGTATTCATACGTGATATTTTAGCGTAATACACCTGCACTCATAGATATTACAAAATAATGAATTCTTTATAATATGTGTTTAACTGGAATAATTAATTATCATGACTATGGTTTATGCATATACGTGCAACAGTATGAGTGAGGTATGAAAGATAAGTGTATGCAAGAAATAAACTCATGTAACAGTACTGTATAATATTATCATGTTGAAGTAACTTTTATGTCTCAATGATCCCCTGCCTCAGCTATAGGGACACATATATATGTACTGGGGTAAATTGCTTTTTTTTTAAATACTACAATGTACATCCATGTCACACATAAGTATCTATGGGAAAATTGTGTTAGATTTTTGCATACCGACAAACGATTCAAGAATATCAAATTCATTCTCCTCGTGTTTAGAAAAAAACGTTTATCGGTTCTTATTCTTCATCAACATCAACTCAAGAACTTTATACTGTAGAGAACTGCATTCATGTGTAAATATATTTTTAAAAATTAACAATATATTGAAAGATCCACAATTGTGAAAGGCTTTTAATCTGAATATTCCTGGTGTCCCATTTCCTTTTTTTTATCATTTTGCCTAAAATTATCATATCATGATTCCATATGGCTTACGATCTAGGTATGTCAGTCTCAGAGGAAATTGCACCAGTCACTGCTCGGTGTTCGAGAAGTTCTTGAATGGTATTTATTTATTTATTTGAAATCAGTTATTTTAAGGCCTAATGTCCCTATGTTTTAAATTTCATCAAAAAATAAAAATTCCCAATATTGATTTTTATAATCAACTAAAACATTAGATTCAAATGGAAAAGGGTTTGAGGTATGAAGCGGGGCTTACTTTTCCAAAAATAATTTCATGTCTTACCATGTTATGAAGAAAATTTGACACAGTTAATAGAGAAAACTAATTTATTATCACAACATAAAATTAAAAATATGAGGTATATATAAAAATAATATTAAGTGCCATACATATTAAATTCATATCAGAAAACATAATGAAGTGATGCTTTTAAAGTAAGAATGTCACTTTGTATCTTTGCTTGTAAAAAAATGTGACCATCAGCAAAAGTTATCTTTCTTTAATACTTTTTAAAGAAAAAAAAATACTCATAATAAAAATACTCTACATAGTACACTGCAAATTATACTACTTTTTAAGGTCTTGTAAAAAAATCGAAATATTTTATTTTTTAACGGTAAAAACTCCGAGCTATTAGCGATCAAAATTTAGCTATAATCATGCTTATAATCGAAAGCTTTGGAATTATAAAATGGTGATTTTCATTAATTAAATTCTTTAATACAAAATTGTGTTTGGGCTCAATATATCACCGATGCTGATGAAATTGACACGGCTACTGAAAATTTCTCAGATTTTCTTTCTGGAGTTAGGCAATGCATATGTGAAAAAAACAATTAGCATTCGTGAACGCGATAAACCTTGGTTTGATTCAGTTAACGTTTTGCTCAAAATTATAAGAATAAGAAATATATTACAAAATAAAGCATTGAGAACCAAAAAGACTCGGATTGGTCTAAATTTAAAGAAGTTCGAAACTCTGTCAACAACATGAACAAATATGCTATATCTAATTATCTATTTCTAATGATTATGACTGTATTTGGACGCACCAGGTAGACTCAAACAAAAATAACAACAAGATACATTGGGAGTTTAATGAAAGATTTATTTAATAATAAATCATCAAATGATATACCTCCATTACAAATTTCTACCGACAATGGAGTAAATCATTTAGCTTTTTCTGATCTTGACAAGATTAATATTGAAGCACTTAACAGTTACTGTTCATTTATCTCCGACATTAACGATTCGAATCAAGCTCTACCGGAATTTTACTCGTTATGCAATGACACACTTACTAATATCCTGTCTGATGGGCAAGAGGTAGTCGATATCATTTCTATACTTCCGGTTAATAAAGCTATAGGTTCCAAAAACAGTCAAAAATACCAGTCACAAAATTCTAAAATGCACTGCTTCCACTGTTTCAAATCCATTAACGATGTTATTTAATAATTCCCTGTCAG